CATGTTAGTTATATACATAATGCCGTTGGCTGCTAGCATGGTATTCTGTCAATTGCTTAATTTTCATTTCATCCATTACCAAGATACAATTAAAAAAATATCAGGATTACTCTCCGCTCTCAATTTTAATGCCGTCAACGCTTCTTGACTAAACCCTGGTTGGCCATCGATGGTAGTGTACCACTTATACATTAAGTTTACAATTACAATAATAGGTGTATAAATATATGAATTAGTCCTCCCTCAAGTTCTAGGTTGGTACTGCAGTGTCAGCTAACCTTTTATTGTAAGCTTAAAATATGATTTTCCAAAATATTTGGAGCAAATGGTGCTAGTTCGTTTAGGTATTCAAGATTCATGGTTTCTACAAGCTACAATCCAAGTTTGCCGCCGCCAGGATCTTTTGGAAATCTGTAAAACAAACCAATAATAGAAAAATTTACTACTTTTTGTAATACTTTATTATAAAATCTAAATAAAAACTACAAACCGGTTCGGCTGACAAACCCGCATGGTTTATTAACATATCGATAGCTAAAGTTGTGGCGTTCATCACTATAGAGCAATATTTTCGGTTGCAATGATACCAGTTTATTTTTATAAAAATTGCACACTTTTGCTGCGAGGTAGCAAGTTTCGATTTGACTTATTTGGCCTGTATTTTGTATAATATTTTAATAACTACTTGTTATCAATTATATTTAATTATATAATATTCAGTATCGTGTTGAAATTTTGCTGAATATATAAATCATTTAACAAAATCCACTACACATCTATATGTAATGATTATTATTCATCACAAACTGATTTAGTTATTAGGAAATATATTTTCGTTAATATATATAACTTATTTAACTCTCGGGTGAGCCTCACACCTAGAGAGCGCGTCCCCAGGCGGCGGATAGGGGAACACTCGGCGTCATTGCCGGGTAGGAGGGAAATAAAATACCTCCCGCGGACCAATAGGCCGGAGAAGGAAACTCCGTTATCAAAACCCTGCTACGAGCTGCTTCATCATATTTGTATAGTTAAGATCGTGAGCAGTGCTGTTTGCTTAGGCTGGAGCACTACAGAAGGGACGGCGGCAGATGAGCTCATGATGAGTCAACGGCAGCGCCCGCACCCTGGAAGGGATATAAAAGCTAGGGCGTACCCCTCAAGCGACGACCAAATACGATCCCAAGCGAAAAATGCTAAGGCGTCCCCTGTAAGCGACGCAACAAGACGCAGCGCGAATAATTTGCGTATAGCCACATGGAACATCGGTTCCCTTACCGGACGCAGTCAAGAATTAGCAAACATATTGCATGCACGAAATATTAACATATCTTGTATACAGGAACTCAAATGGAAAGGGTCAAAATTCAGGGATATTGGTAGAAACTATCAACTATTGTATAACGGCACATCTTCGACAAGGAACGGAATCGGCATCATCCTCGACGAAACATTACAACAACGAATAATCAAAGTAGAACGAATAAGCGACAGAATTATTTACGTGAAATTAGCTTTAGACAACAAATTAACTCTTAACATAGTCTCAGTATATACCCCTCAAGTTGGATGTAGCAATGAAGAAAAAGGTCTGTTCTGGGGAAACCTAGAAGACCCTTTCGTAGCCATACCTTTAGAGGAGAAAAAAATTATAGCAGGGGATTTGAATGGCCATGTAGGTATGAAAGCACCTGAAATCTCAAACATACATGGAAATTTTGGATATGGCATCTCTAATAGCCAAGGTCAGGATATAATAAATCTAGCGACCCAATTTGATCTCCCGATCGTTAACACTTAATTCCAAAAAAAAAACAAGATGAACACCTCATCACCTACAAAAGTGGTGGTTCGGCCTCTCAAATAGACTTTTTTCTTTGTGACAGATCGATTCTCCGCTATTTTAGGAACTGTAAAGTTATACCAAGGATTCCACTAACAACCCAACACAGACTAAGGTAACGTGTCTGAAAATGCCAAACTGGAATACAAAAGAGAAATATCAAAATCATGAACCCCGCATAAAATAGTATAACATACACAAGGATAAAGGCACTTTATTTATTGATCAGGTTGATAAATACTTCAAAGATTCAAGTCCCAAAAGACAGCAACACTCTATGGAACGAATTCCACATGTTTTGCCTAAAAACCGCCAGAACAACCCTAGGTATTACAAAAGGAAAATTGAGGATTAATAAAAATCCTACTTGGTGGGATGAGAATGTTAAATCTCTGTTGTTGGAGAAGAAAGAATCTTTCAAGAAATGGCAACAATCAAAAAGTGACAGCGATCGGCTGGATTACAATATAATTAAAAAGAGAGCTAAAAAATGTGTTCCAGTAACAAAAGCACTATCCAAAGACCACTTTTACAAAGAATTAGAAAACGCAAAATCAGACGCAGAAATATTTAAATTAGCAAAACATCGAAATAACGAAACAAAAGATATCAAACGTAACAAATATATCAAAGACTCATCGGGTAAATTGTTAACCACAAACAAAGAAATTAGTAAGAGATGGCGAGAATACTACCATACACACCTGAATGTGAAATTTCCACAGGAACCATTCACATCCCTCGGATCCACGGAAGGACCAATTAAGGAAATTTCACCCCAGGAAGTAAAGGCAGCCATTCAAAGAATGAAAAATAGGAAAGCAACTGGACCGGATGAGATTCCAGCTGAACTATGGAAAAATGTGGGCAATACCGGCGTAGCATGGCTGACAAATCTATTTAATGTAATCCTTAAAAGTACCAAAATACCAGATATGTGGAGAAACAACAATTTGATACCCCTATACAAAAATAAAGGCGATGTTGGGGCTGTGAAAATTATAGAGCAATTAAACTAACTTCTCAGACCCTTAAGATCTGGGAATGTGTCCTCGTCAAAAGACTGGCAAAAATTACAAAAATTACACCGAACCAATGTGGATTCACTAGCGGCGTGGGCACTACAGATGCAATTCACTCAGTAAAAATACTTATGGAAAGGTACAAGTCACGCAAACAAGATCTTCATCTTATTTTCATTGACCTTGAAAAGGCGTTCGACCGAATTCCTCGAGAACTAATCTGGCAAGCACTAAGGGCGCAATTGGTGCAGGAGCATTATATTGAACTCCTCAAAGATCTGTACCACGATGTAACTACAAACGTGGTCAGCCCAGCAGGGACAAGTGAATCATTCGAAGTCGGAGAAGGGGTTCACCAGGGTTCGACCGTAAGCCCTCTTCTATTCAACGTAGTAATGGACTATTTATATCACTGTGGACATTCAGAAACCAGCACCGTCGTCGCTTTTATACGCTGATGATGTGGTACTTATAGCCGAATCGATGGCGGAAGTACAATCAGACCTGATAATATGGCAGAAGTGCTTAGAAAGAAGAGGGTTGAGAGTCAATAGAGAGAAGACTGTATATATGTAATGTAACTTTTCTAATGCCAATGTGAATGTTATTCCATATCCTTCTATTGAAGGCAGTCCTCTTAAGAGAGTTGAAGAGTTTAAATATCTCGGATCCATTGTAGCACCAAAGACATGTACAGAAAGAGACATACAAAATAGAACCCAAACAGCTTGGTTAAAATGGAGATCGCTGTCTGGCATTCTATGCGACTCCCGTATGCCTATTAAAATAAAGGGCAATGTATACAAAAGAGCAGTAAGACCAGCTCTGCTATATGGATCTGAGTGCTGGCCGATGAGAAAGACGGATGAACAGAAAATTCACGTCGCTGAGATGAAAATGCTACGTTGGTCTGGAGGAGTTTCTAGAACAAATAAAATAAGAAACGATTACATTCGTGGTAGTTTTAAGGTTGCTATGGTGCACGAAAAACTTAGAGAAAACCGTCTACGCTGGTACGGACACGTGATGAGACGGGATGATGACCATATGACTAAAAGAGTTATGAACATAGAAGAGGGGAAGAAAGGCCGTGGACGACCACCAATAACCTGGCTGCAAACACTAAAAAACGACCTTAAATCTACTAACATATCAGAAAGGACAACACACAATCGCACGATGTGGCGCAAGATTACTATGAGGGCTGACCCCAATTAAAATGGGACAATAGCCAGGGAGAAGAAGAAGAAGAAGAAGAAGATATATAACTTGTGTAGTAAATTATATTTATTTAAAAATATATTATTTTACACTTTATGAACTATGATAGCCACACTCGGTATTGGACCAAAATATTCAGAAAGTACGAGTTTTAATGATAATATTACCTTAATATTATCTTAAAAATACTCACAGATGAAAAGTCACATTGTTCTTTTGTATATTTGACGTTTTTGATTGTTTTTTTTGTTCATGTAAATACACTGCAATTCGGCATTTAGTCGGAGCTCGATTTACTGACACGATCACTTCGGAATGGCGCACGACGCAGATCAACTAGTTTTATATAACGGGTATGAGTCGAACTCTCGTACCTTTTACGGAGGATTATGCCTTGCCATGCCGTCTCCTTTGGTTTAATACTCAAAGCTTACAAGTTACAGGTGATGCTTTTCAACTATTCGCCATGTGAGACGGTTGTCCTTACCCCTACACTCCATGATTATAACTTTTGTCATGTTATTAATAAAAAGAAAAGAATGTCAAACTGTCACTCTTTCCAACTCTATGGTCCAACCAATGGCAAAGAGACATTTGTATTACTTTTTCTCCTATTAGATATTTTTCTGTCGTGGACTTGACTTATTGGTCCATTTCGGCATTAAAGTGGACTATTGTCCAATGACAAGTAAACGTGTAAGCTTGAAAGTTGAAGTCATAGATTACTGAATATATACTATGGTTGAAGTCGAGAGAAGTGCCTACTTCTACTGGCATTTAAAAATTTAATTCAATAGTACAGTTGTAGGTTGTTCGGAAAGTCAATCCGTGTGAAGATTGTCGGCGTCGCCGGCTTTATTTGTTTTAATTTAAAATAGGTTTTATATTACCATATAGAAAGTTATTTTGCCGTTATGAAATACTTTTTGTTGCTATCGTTGGGCGTCCTGCTCCTTTCAGGTAAATTTTATTCACTAATTTCATTGTCTACGTTGCATGCTTTAGTTTTCTTCGTACGTTATCTTTCTATCCACTAAATAGCTACCTTTTTGAAGTCTACAGTTCACTGTTTTTGCCAGCGTAAGAGAATCCACTACCACATAATATGGATGATATTGTGGATGTCCTTAGAAGCGACAGGAGATGAAACGCAGCATCTTACTAAAACAACCCAAAATATTTAAAAAAAAACTGCAGTTGCCAACCTGTCTGCCGTGGCAGCGTGTGTGGCATCTACGGCAAATATTCAGCAGTAGACCTTTAATAGGCTGTGATGAATGATTGAATGAATGAACTACACTTAGTTTTTAATAAAGAATTGTCATAGCCTAAAATTTTGATAGAAATGTGTGTTATATGTTTTGTGAATTACTTACACAAAAGTTGTCTCTCTTTAAAAATGTTGTGTTAAGAGTGAGGGTAGATAACTAATAATCGTAAAAACACCCCCTTTCATTTTTAGCAGTGTATAGAATTGCCCAGACCATTAGCTAGGTTATTCAACATGTCGTAATAGTTGTTGTCATGCCGTCCGTTGTGGTAATTCTTTTAGTACCAGCATAGTGTGTGATGTGGCAGTGAGGCTGCCCTACGTTACATTCTGATGGGCGGTGTTGTTGGGTTGCATACTTCATTTATTTTCGTCCATATACATGAAAACCTGTGTTAACTTTTATAAATATTTAAAGCAATAACAGTTGTCAAGATTTTTCTCATGAAATTAAAATAATGTTTTTTCTAGGATGGTCCCATGCTCAAGATGAGGGAATTGGTGTTGGTACTGTTGAAGAAGTAACTGTAGACTCAGATCTGGGTGCGTCCCGGGAAGGCTCACGAACAGGTTTGTTTATACAAAAATACAACTGCAATATTTAAAATCTAGGGACAAATCAGCTTACTATCAAGTTTTACGGTTTGACATATTTAAATAATACAGTGTACTGCCTTTTTACATACTTAGATGTAGAGTTGCAGAAAACAGCCCATCACGCCCCCCTAAGCTATAAATATATAAGCTGTGGCAGCTCAGGGGCTAAGATCTTGCTGTAAATTTCATAGTATATAATCCCAAACTTGTATATATCATCTGTAATAAAATTATATCATCCCCTCTAACACTAACAAAATTTTTTACTGCTATTTTAAGTGCTGATTTACCACATGGTCAATGTTAAAGGAAAACATGTCTGAAAAATAAAGAAATTTTTTTTAAAGATATGAATTTCGCCAACACGCATTGGGACAATGCGGCAGATATTTCCTTGGCCTAAAATCCTCTCAGAAATAGGAAGCCTGTGCCCAACTGTGGGAAGTATATAGGCTGTAACTTGACCTTTTTTAAATACTTAGGTCATAAGTTCTGTCAAAAACTTTTTATAAAATTAATGATACACTTTTTGATAATTATATAGAAATTATATATGCAATCAAAGGTAATTTAGTTAAGAATACAATTTTGTTTACATTATTCAAAATTCCCTCCCCTGTTTTGAATACATGCCCTTAATCGACGCGACCAATCATCGATTGCAGCATGTACCACACTCATAATATGTATGTATTTCTGCCGCTGCTTTAGCCAAAGATGCGTGGAGAGATTCCAAATGCTGATGACGTTTAGTGCAGACTTTCACACAAACATTTTTCACAGAAAAACACCTAAGTTAAGCCAGAATATGAGGCTCCAAGCTAAACCATGAGTGACAAAGGATAATGTGGTTGTTGAATTCTCGGAACACTCGTGCTGGCTTATTAACTGCTGTGGGCATACACCTTACCATTTTGTTTATTATAACTTTCTTCGATGTTAAAAATTTTTTCATCTGAAAACAAAATTTCGCGTTATTTTTTCCCGCGTACAGCTGTAACTAAACGCGTTATCTATCCAGCCTAATTTTTTTCAAACGCTCATTCAAAAAATGTCCAGTCTTCTTATGATAAGCTCGTAGTCCTAAGTCTTCATTGATCACTCTTTTCACTGTGGTTCTGCTGAGACCCATCTGAAGAGCTAAGATTTTTTGTTTACGAACAGGATTTCGTTGGATTCGCGCCTTCACTGCTTTGATGATTGCAGGTGTCCTAACTGTACGAGGTCGGCCGGTCCTCTTGCGATCTTCGAAGCTTGAATCTTCAGTGAATCGTCTGATAGTGCGATAAACAAATCGTAGGGTTATTTTCAATTTTTGTAGAATATTGAAAATCTCTTGGCGCGTAACCATAGCGGTGCAACATGATAACCACTATGCTGTGTTCTTTCTTCCACCAATCCATATTTTAAAATGCGTGAAAACTAACGTCTTTATTATTTTCGGCAAAAAACTGCCATGTATTGGTTCTGTTCAACCAACATGACACACTTTTATTTTAAGGTATATTGAAGTGTATTTTTATTGCCCTTCAATTAAGCATGTAAAAGTTTTTAAGTTTTATCTATAATTAGTGATAAGATATTGATAAAAAAAGGTATATCTTTCAAGGTTTAGTAGAGAGTAGTGTGGTCAGTAGAATTCATAACAAATGTTTTAGAAATATGTATTATGAATATAATCTACTTTGAATTTTTAACCATGTCATTTTTGAATGTATGAAATAAACTAACTTAAAAACGGCAACATTATTAAGACTCACTTAAAAATGAACAACTAATGTGAATGATGAACTAGTGTGAATTTTTGATTAAATTTAATAATTTAATAAGTAAAGCTTTTAAATGTACATTTAAAATCGAGGAGCAACATGTTTGTGTCTTTGGGCTTTAAAAATACAAATTACAATTAAAGTTCAGCACAACTTTATTTGTGATAATTTCATTTTAGTTTGAATTTAATTATGGAAATTGCTTTACATTTATTTTTGAATGCATTTGTAATATTTTAGAAACATGAAACTGCATATTTGTATATTAAGATGAATCCTCTGTAGTGTGCGCAAGGTGCAAGCCCAGTCACCGAGCATTAATGGGCACTACTGCTCGCACTACTGGCGCTTGTAGGCCGCGTCTTGCGCGAGCAGACGTAGCCGTGCGCGCATCCAGGCCGAGTCGCGTATGTGGTGGCGCGCCCCCCGCGTCCCTCGCTCTGCCAGCGCGCCCCGCTCGCTCCACCAGCCGTACCTGCGCCCACGTGGCTTGCTTTACCTGCGTTATCTATTTCAATCAAAGCATTCTACGTATACTACTAGACCAGTAATTCAGAATTAAAACTGTGTCACGACTGTAATTCTCGCGGGGCGCAGCGAGGCGGGTAGCTGGCGCGGTAAATGTGCTACGCATAATGGCAGTAATATCCTATACCTTTAAACGAGCGAGAGATTCCGATTATATATATATATATATATATATATATATATATATATATATATATATATATATATATCGGAATCTCGGAAACGGCTCCAACGATTTTCATAAAATTTTGTGTGCAGAGAATTTCGGTGGCAATAAATCGATCTAGCTAGGATTTATTTTTAGAAAATGTCTTTGTCCGTGTTTTTAGGCAATGAAAAACTGCTACCATATCGTTAGAATGAGAAGATAAATTTTGACGGTTTATTAATGATTACACATAGCTTAATTGGTATATAGGGCGGTCACAAAATCGTAATACCATGGTTCGAGCCCAGACCGACCGACCCACTTTTTTTAATTTTTTTTTCAAGTTCCTTTCTTTTTTGAGAAAATCTATTTTTCGTGCCCTTTGTTTAGTATTTTTAAAAACACGAAAATTTATTAAACTAATTGCAATCATGATTTTTTATTCAAATAACCAGTTCAGTTTTTTCTATTATGTCGCTACGATCAAAAAATATTATTCGTATTACATCAGTATGTAATTTGTATCTAAATATAATTTCCAAAACACACGAATTAAAAAAACCGAGCGAAAAATAAAAGCTCGGTCAACCGGGTACTTTCATTTACGTTAGTGTTTTAGGCAATTATGAAATTAATTTCCATGCAAATAATGACAGCGCTTTTTTGGTCCCATTAAATAAAATCAGTGTCGGCTTGTCAAAAACAACGTATGCGATTTCAAAATAAAGAACTAGTCTTCCATGGCTCGTAGTCGACTAAAAGGGTTCCGGAGAATTGACCGTAAGTTTGTGCGTTTAACGTTACTTATGACGGTACCCCATATACATCTAATGCTTAGCCCTTCGCGTGAACTTCAGTAATGCCGTACCAATGCTGTGAAACCAATAAAGGTACCATCAAATGAAACCTTAATTTGATTTAGTATCTGTATCTGATACCGATTCTGTTTTACTAATTAAAACTGAACATAAAATTATGACGTAAAATATGTACGGACTCGTGCGCGCTGGTGACTGGGTGTGCATAGAGCTCCCGCGGGCCGCGAGCAAAGCGCTCGCGCACAGTTTGTAGCGCGCGCTCTGTAGCCGCCTCGTCGCCCGTCTCATGTACGCGCGCGTAGAACTTGTCCGCCAGCGGCACCGCTGAGAACGAACGCTTCATTAACATCTGTGTCATCATATTTCAACAGTCCATCCATTTGATTCTGAATACAGTTTTTATCCAACTAGAAGTTATAAAATTCTGTAAAAAGTAAGTCTTCAAAAAACTAAAGAAAATAACATAATTTCAACGTAATGTTTTGTTATGTTGAAATCAGTCTATTTTCTACATAACATATATTAGAAGTTACGTAATGTTGAATCGAATTACCCATTTCCAGTAAAAAGGGTCTCCGGTTCACTACACTCACCATACGAAACACAGCAGCATTAAGCTGCTATTTCATCGTTCGAGCCGACCCATTCGCGCTACAACCATAATATAGCTGCATAGTGGCTCTACCATGTTGAACCTTCCAATGTATGTATGTTATAAGACTTTAGAGTTTCGCAATGTCTGAGTTAGCCAAGACAGAGAAATCTTAATGTTTGTTAAAATTTTACGTAAACATCAGAGATTCGGTTAGAAAACCGACTAATGTTACCGTAGTTACGCACGCAATGACAGCGGTCTGATAGCGGATATATTGGAACGCCCCAGCTCGTGCTGGGCGGCAAATCGTAACTTAAAAGAGCGCGTTTGGAGAGTCTGACTCTGAGGTACTGTCGTGTCGGGGACAGCGGCTGGTGTCTCTGCACTGTGTTCTTCTACTGAATCCATTCTCTTGTCACTTTTAATCTTCGTCAATTACTTTCCCAGGGATTATTAGATCGAAGCGTTGTCAAGGTGACAGTAAATGTTTTGATATGAATTGCGTAGTCGTTTTCCACAGGAAAGTTGATTCATTTTACGTTGTCCTAATGTAACTATATTTGTAATGTTACAATATTTTTGACTCTTATTTTTACATATGTTCATATGAACAGCCTTTTTGTCAATTTGATTTATTGACAAGGTTTCTTCGAAATGCAAATATTGATCACGTGCGTGTGTTCCGAACTTTGATATCTTAGTTAATGAATTGTTATAGTTACAGCCTGCCTTGTAGGTGCCACCATGTTTATCTTTCTTTCACCAAGTAGTGATAACTTTTCCTTTTACGGTACAACAATGAATGGTATATATAATATGTAACGTAATTAACGCACACCCTCAGACACCCCATTTAGTATGTTATGTTACAATCATAATACATACACTGAATTTTTAGTTAAACATTTTTATGCACTGATTATTTATCCAATTAGTTATACTCAATTCCGGAAGAATGTTGTGGTCACAGTAGAAATCCACGAACGCAAAGACTTTAACGTGCTTGAAATAAATTTCATTTTTCTTTATTTTTATTGAATGACAGAATTAGTAATAATACAATTAAAACTGCACTCTTAAAAGTCTTATTGCGTTAAGTTACGGTACATTTCAGTTTGTTTTGACTGTACAGATTTAGTGTGACTGTAATTTACATAGTTTTAATTATTTTTGGGATAAAAAATTACCTATATTAAAAATGATAGGAATCGATTCAGTAAACGATTCTGAACAAACTACTTTCTCAAAGTACGTTAATTATGTTATATGTTGTATATGAATAAATAAAATTAGTGTCTGTATTGACAAAATAACGTTTTTTTAGTTTATTAAATGCCTATTAAGGTATATGCGGAACTTGTAACAAAAAAAAGAACAATTTTAAAAATGTGTTGTGTAAAAATTCTGTCTGTCTGTTGGTTCCGGCTAATCTCCTCGGACTGGTGGCACTGGTAGATAGCTGGAGTCGTAAAGACTAACACTTTACTACTTTTATTTTAGAAAAACAATAAGGGTTCCCCACAAAAAAATCAAAACTTATTAAACCCAACCACAGTAAATTCCACGCGGACGAAATCGCGGTGAACAGTTTAATAATAAAACTAGCCGGCACCCGGCGCGCTGCAGCGGCGAGAATAGTTGAAGTTGAATGAAATAGATAAATTATTAATATTTACATAAAAAATGTCTACATATAAAGAATTATATAAACTCTTCAACTAAGAGGGCAATACATCCATAGTCTTGGTTGTTTGTTGTGTTGTTTTGTTTAATTTTGTTCCAGGTGTCCATTGACTAGTAGCCGTTACTGAAATTTTAGTTTATTAGCCTTTTTACTGATTTATTTATAATAAATATTATAAGCATGGGAACATGTCTGCAGATGCGGAAGCGGTGCTCCGCGAAGAGGAAGCTATCTCGCCAGACGGGTTGAGCGTGGCGCAGATGCGGGAACTGCGTGAGCGCGCACAGAACTTCACCTTCCAGACCGAAGTTAACCGTATGATGAAGCTCATCATTAACTCTCTGTACAGGAATAAAGAGGTTTGTCGTACAATTTGCTGTCTGAAATTTTTACTGTATACAAACGAAGTTTTATAATTGGCTAGCAATTTATATTGAGTAGAATATAATACAATACAATATCTTTATTTCAGACATTACACAATTTAGGGAACTTTCTTCTTTGGCGCGACCCTGAAATCGGAAGCAAGAAATACTTCTATGTACTATATATAAAACCTGGAGTAGAATGATTAAAGAAAATTATGGAATGACCATGATCTCATTGTCTTCTGTTACAGATATTTTTGCGAGAGTTGATTTCAAATGGATCGGATGCGTTGGACAAGATCCGTCTTCTGTCGCTAACTGACCGCAATGTGTTGGATGTGAACCCGGATCTCAGCATTCGCATCAAAGCAGATCCTGAGAAGCGACTACTGCACATTATAGATTCTGGTGTGGGCATGACGCGCAATGAACTTGTCAACAATCTCGGAACTATTGCCAAGTCTGGTACTGCTGACTTCCTTTCCAAGATGCAGGATGCTGAGAAGGTATTTTTTCGATCATGATACATGGAAACAAATACTTAAATGATAGATTAGATACAAAAAAAAATGTATATTAATAGAGTTGGACGTTACTTTACGTTAATCCATTATATTGTTGATGTTAAAAATTAACTTCACCCGAGGATGCCTTGTGTAGAGGCGGAACGTGTCGTATTATCGACGGTGGTGTCTTTCCTAGTGTAGGTGTGCTGGGATTAGTGGTAACGGAATATTGCACGCAATTGTGGGAGGACAGGAATATCTTTTCAAAATGGGTAAAACACATTTTATTTTATTATGTGGATCATAGCTTATTAATTTTTAATTATTTAAAAATTAATGTATATTGTTAATGACATTAAAATTTACACTTCAATGGTTTTAAGAGTTTAGCTTATTAGCATGCAAATAATTTATATGGATAAAGTTTATACAATTAATAAAAATATTTTTGCACATATTTATTAAGTAATAATTATGTTAAAATATTAAAAAATGTATTGTAAATTGTGATAAGTGAACTTACTACAAGTAAGTCTCAAGAAGGTATAATTTAAAAACTAAGTTTAATTTATGATACCTTAATCTATTGCACAATTGTAAGTTGTACGTACTTTCTTCAAAAAAAAAATATGTTCCGCTCGGTTTCTTGATGGTTCTTCCCAGGATAGAGGTATTTTATAAACCAGTGGTAAAGTTAGGAAAAAAATGACTCAATAAGAATTATTTGTAACCTGTATTGAATAAAGAAATATTGTATTATATTATATTATATTAGAGCTGGCATAGATTGAACCTAGTGACAATGGAAAACCATTGAGCACTCTCAGCTAACTGGTTAATCATATTTAAATCTGCTGTCGCGTTTTTATATTGTCTGTAGTTTTTATATAGTCTGTAGTTTTCAAAGCGACAGTATTATTTATTGCTGTGTTTTCCATTTTGAATATTTGTCTGCAGCTTCACATACACCGGACATTGGGAGCAACTGAATAAAAATAAAGTTACAAAAAGTTTCTGTTGAAACTGAAAACAGATGGTGAATAAATGCAGTATATAAAAAATGAAAGTTTCTTCATTACCTTCATTAACTAAGCAAAACACGATATAGCAAAACAAAGGATATAGACACTTATGGACAAATTTAGAAGAACGAAATAAAGGGGTTTACTATGCCCTGTTATAAAGTTTTTGCTGTGCTAAACAATTGTGTGGTGGTTTGTTGCAGACGAACGCGCAGGAAATGAACGATATGATCGGTCAGTTCGGCGTGGGGTTCTACTCGGCGTTCCTGGTGGCGGACAAGGTGACGGTGGTGTCGAAGCACAACAACGACTCGCAGCACGTGTGGGAGTCTGACGCCAGTTCGTTCAGCGTGGCTGAGGATCCGCGCGGAGACACGCTCAAGCGAGGCACGCACATCACGTGAGTGTACCGCCTTATCGCCTTACTGCCTTACCGCTTTACTGCCTTGCACAATCACCACGCCCCGCGTCTACACCTGCACAAAACAAATATATTTGGGTTTCAAATTTCAGCTTTGTTTATAGATTATGGGTGAGTTAGAAGTGGTTACTGTCGCACATAAACATCTACATTTTTTATTTATTTATAAATTATCTTTACAGGTTTATCACCCAATGCGATAATGTAGACAAATATTTTTACAAACTACAACTACACAGCTACAAACTAATAATTTTAGATCTATATATATATTACCTACTTATTGCTATTACAAACACCGTGTCTGTTACAGTAGGGACCAAAGCTTATTTCAAAGAGAGCTCTCACTATGAACTCACGCAGAGTACAGCAGAACAGATCTATGTCTTTTGCTGTACGGTTCAGAACACGGAGAGTCCCGCATACGCATACGCAAACGCATAGTATGTTTCCAGGGTAGGCGGAAAAAAGTACATTGACGTTTGAGGATATAATCGGGCCAACCTTATTTTTAGGTTTTATTTTTTTATCCTTGTATCATTACATACATTATCAGAGTGAAAGATAGAGTGCCGAGTGCAAAGTTCTTCGCAGTCTTTGTGTATATTATAATATTATAAAGAAAGATGATTGTCATGTACTTATATGAACTGAAAATCAAATTAACATTGATTTAAATTTATTCTTTATAAATTATAAGGTATTACAATTTTTAAGTAGTTTAATAAGAAGTTAGTAAGTCGGTAATTGTGTGAAACATAACCGCTTGTTGACAGTCGGGTAAAAAGGCGAACTTTTAATGCTTAAACATTCTTTAGCAGTCAACCTTGAATAATGCATAAGACTTCTCATAATACATCTCACAATCTTTTATGAGAAGTTTTGACACTTGACAGATTGTTCTGCATCTATTTCAGAATCATTTTCTGATGATAAAGATGTGGAAGAGTCCGCCACATTGATTACAAAACTACAGTTTTATCAATGGCGTGATCATATTCATTTAACTTGTTTTAATTCAAAACGTAACGATACAAAACTTTACAATACAACAAATAAAACAAACTTAGTAAAAATGAAAACAACATGAAAATTTTAACGCGAGACTGCGAATCGTGTCGAAACAGGTTTGTTATCTCTGAATGATCACTTCCTTCACCCTACCCCATACCATGAGACACGCTTAGCGCATAACAATACGTAATCGATAATGAAATGTATGGAACAATACCTGTCGTTTTATTTCAATGCTAACATAATACTTTAGGTCCATGTACGTTTTTCCGCCTGCCCTAGAAACATACTATAGCAAAAACGGTTACTAAATGGGGAGTAAACTACTTTAGCTGGTGTCGAAAGTACAGCAACCGGCCTGTATATTGGTCCATGTTTAATGTTGACTTTCCTTTGGGTAATAGGACGACCTTAGTTGTTTTCCATCTTTCTGTAAGCACGGCCTCTGCTCCGATGCACTGATTAAGGATATAGAGAAGTGGCCTACAAAGTACTAGTTAGCGGTTTTTGAAAATGCAGGGTGGTATGCTATCGGGTCCAAAAGGCTTGAGTTTTTGCTGAGTGTAAAGTATTTCATTAGGCTTTAGATGTTCTAAGTGTACCCTTACTGCCTCATTCTCACCACCAGCCTATTTTACTACCGCCTCAACGTTCCTGCTTAGACATCTTAGGGCTAAATACTGAATAAAAATACTGTGTAAACTTAGTAGCACACTGCTCACTGGTAAGTACTTTATCATCTTTTAAGATCTTGCGTGGACTTCTGTTGTCTTTTTTTGAGTTAACATAAGCCAAAAACGCTTTTGGATTTTCCTGGAATGCACTCAGATTCGGTCTTTATAATTTTTGTATGTGGAGTTTATCAAATATTTTACATTTGTTCTACAGTTAGTAAACGCCTCATAATCTGCCTCGGATTCGCTACCCTTAAATTGCCTATGAAGCCTAGCCTTTAAGTGTACGATAGATATATAGTGTACCATTCGGGGAATCTGTGCTCCAAGTCTTTCTATTTTCTTGGAACACAGTTATGAAACTGAGAAATGAAAACTATTTATTTGTTTCAAAACAGTTACATGTATTATAAGTGAGACATACCCAGTAAGTAATTAATTTATTTGTGTTGCGGCTAAAGTCTAAAGTGTAAAAGGAATAAAGCTGGTAATCCATAAATTTTATTGTTTAAAACTTCATAAAAGTAATCTAAAGTACTATTTACAGCTAACGTATATTGAATAAAACTATTATGTACGGATTTTACCGCGTTTAATTACTACTTTAACTTATTTTTATTATACCGACATTTCGGGTGCTGTAAAGCACGTAAATAATAGTTTTATTCAATGTGTGGTGTTCGCGTGAATTTAAGAAATCATTAAACTAACGTATATATTGGCATCCAGTTTATAGCCGCTATCAAGGAATACATTAAGGAAAAGTTTGGTTTATAAAAGTTGCATGCAGTGTGTGTGTGTGTGGGTGCTCCCCTCAGAGCCTCGGGCTGGAGCTGGCTCGCCGCACCGCGGACACGGCGGCACGCTCGCTCAGCCCGTCTCCCACTTGATCGCGTGCTCGAAATAAGATCTAATTGGCGTTCATTGCAATTTCCTATTTTGTTGTACTGCTAGAATTCACAATATGTATGTACCAAACTACTCAAAATGATTGCGTACTCGTACATTTGTTGACCTAGAGTATAAATTAAAATCACCTATCACTATTAATCATTGTAGTCATCACGATAAATTTCTATTATACTAAACAACACATTCATTATCACCACAACTTGGTGGAATGTATTACTACTTACAACACAAACATGAACTTTTTGTAAATAAACCGCAGCCCTAACCAGTTCAAATGCCTCATATGAATACATACTTCCTTTGGTGTATTTAGTTGCCGGAGCTCATAGCAGTGGTGTGCCCACTAAACACGCGAAAGTATCATGTATACAGATGGAATGAGTTCTGAATCATAGATAGAATTGTTGCATCCTGTTACAGTTATTGTATAAAAATCATAACTATAGAAAGAAACTCCCACATAAAAAAGTGTAATTTTGTTCTCAATCCTTTCACGTTCTGATAATCTCTACAGAACTTGGTGATTTCTCTTTACTTATTGGGTGGTTTACGAAACCACACCCATTCATATAATTCAATGTTAACTGCCCAACATTCTGGTTTACATAGTATTTCGTATGAACTTTCTGGAACTCCTGTTATAAATAACGCATAGTCTCTTTCCGTTTTGTGTTTAATTTTTGCCACTGTTATTTTCATCTTTTCCGCATATGTGCTTTACAAGTTCTTGTAAACTTTCTACTGTGGGTATCCCTTTTCAACCACTAAACATGTAAAAACTTTTTTCCCTTCAGTACTTTGAATATTTCTTCTACTAGTATTTCCTCTTCTTATGACTTTCTTGCCAGGATATTTCTTTTTATTTTTCTGTATAGTAATCCATGATATTTCCTTTTTGCTAGTTTTCGTCGTATGTTTTCTATTATCTATCGATAATTGTTCTTGATCAAAACTTTCCATAGCGGTTGCTATAATATATGTCGGTTTCGTGGCCACGCACGCCACTACACTCTTATTTTTGTTTACTAGCTGATTTTTATTTACCACCTGCTTTTCGTTTAGTGTGAATGAGTACCTTTGTAAATGATATAGTTTCCTTTCTGATTTCCTTCGCTGCTTCATTTCTTTCTTTTGTAGACTGATTTTTATTCAGACAATTTTTTAATTATTCATTTTTTAGCTCCAATGTTTTTAACTGCGCTTCTAATTCTTCGCATTTTTTTGTACCACTTTCATAGTGTCTCGCAATTTATATAGTTCTGTTACGGTGTCGGCAAATCTGTCCTTGAGCAAATTGTATTCAAGGGAATACAATTTGCAAATAAGGATTTGCTCTTTTGAGGTTCATCTCAAATTGAAATTCTTGCAATTCTTGCAGTATTTTACTATCGGTATCCACTTTTATCACTTATCTTGGTTCTTCTTTCTTATTTATCACTTTCTTCTTTCTTTTTTATCACTATGTTTAAATATCGAACAATTTGGAACTGGTGTGTGCAAATTATTCCGCTCCGGGGCACTGCCAACATACTCCGGCCATCTCCAATTGCACTTGTATTCTTCGGTAAATGCTTTATATTTGTCCTTCGTCAGAGCTAAACATTCAATATTTTTAATATACACATAATAATAGAACAATTTTTTGCTTTCATATCTTGCACATCCCATGTACGAAATGTCGTATATTACGGTATCGAGCCTTTACATTTTCGACCCATTTATTTGAAAAATACACTTTTTCCGCTATTAATTATGCTCTACCGATTACACGTCAACTAGCTCGCGTTTCCATACGATTGACGATATTTCATTTATGAATCAAAATGCAGATGTGTTGTCATTCCTGAGGACAAAGGCAAAATGCCTCGTTTCCGGGAAAAGGGAACTGCAGTTCTCTACATTCACTACAAAACACAGCAGCATTATTGAGCTGCTTTTTTGCTGTGAGATCGTGATTGTTTCCCAGACTAACCAAACCTTCGTGCTGCAACCATAATATAGCTGCAGCGTGGCCCATCACTTATTAACCACAAAATTCTACTGAACCTTGACCTTTTAAAACTATCCACGATATATATATATATATATATATATATATTGTCTATATAAGTCCCACTGCTGGTGCTGCCTTCCTTTCAATTCTAAGAGGGTTATGAAACAATTACTGCGTCGCGCTGCGCCAGTTTGTGATGGCGGACTGCACATATCTACGAAATATTTTTATTTTATACACACAAGTTGTCTCACCATGTTTTTATTTACTGGCTAACACATAGTAAACAAATACCTAAAAGTGCAATTAACAGTTGCGTTCATATCAGCAGGGATCAAACCAGTGTTGCTCCCATAATATGAAATAACGCACTTACCCCTGAGCTTTCAGGCCACATCATTATTACAGCCAATCACAAGTCGCACACTGAATACCCCAAATCATTGTCCTGAGCCACCTGTATCTGTTGAATTCCTGCATCTTTTACTACGTTGTAACTAGCATCTAATGATCCATCTACCATACATAATATAACTGTATTTATACTAATCATAAAATATTTAGACTGATAACTCCCAAAATCTAATCTGATGTTGGCGAAACTTCAAATCGTCACTCTCATGTAGGAATATCAATACCTGTTATGGGAGATTCTGAGCAGACTATGAGTTGGAGGCATGTGAATTGATGGCATGATGTTGCAGGCTGCACATGAAGGAAGAGGCGGCCGACTACCTGCAGCCGGACACGATCCGAGCGCTGGTGAAGAAGTACTCGCAGTTCATCAACTTCCCCATCTACCTGTGGGCCTCTCGAACGGAGACTGTGGAGGAGCCCGATCCGGACGACAAGGCAGATGATGTGGACACTGATGAGGATGCACAGGTGATCGCTTGTTTACCTTTGAAACAAATAGGATTATTTAGGCTCATTGCCTTTTTTATAGAATTAATACAAACAAACACACAGTCCACATGATGGTAGGTGGATCTGTGACATGCAGATATCTATATATATCCTCGATTAAGAAACAAAATGCAGATGCGTTTTTACCCCTGAAGACTCAGATGCAATGCCTTATTTCCAGTAAAAAGGTGGAGACTCACTCACCATATAAAATATAGTAGCATTAACTGCTATTTTATGCTAGTACTCTTTTAGAATATGGTTCTTCCTCGAGCCAACCCATTCTTGATAAAACCACAATATAGCTAAAGCATGGTACAAAGTTCTTTTATACCACGATCTAAACCTCAGTCAATAATAGTCCACTGCTGAACATAAGCCTTTCCATAGATTACCCCATAAAGGGATTTAGCCACAGTTGGCACGCTCGGCTCGCGAGCCCGCGGGCTGGCGAGAGCAGTTGTGAGTTATCAGAAAGATGCTGCTGTCCAGTTCCTGTTTGAATTCCTCTGCCGCCTCTGCCGCCTCTGCTGACACTCGCTGTAAATTTCACAGTATGCAAGCAACCCAGGGTTGTTCGTCGCCGGCACCAATGAAATTGTTAGTTGCCGCGCTCATTTAGCACGTGCACGTCAGTGAAGGAAAACACTGTGAGGAAACTTGCATGTCTGAGAGATAAGAAAAAAACAATATTTCGAAGACATTTGAAGTTTGTCAACGAGCATTGGAAGCAGTGCGGCGGACACTTCCTTGCTCAAAAAGCTCCTAAAAAAACCTTCTCAAGAGAGAGAGGAGACCTGTGCCCCGCAGGGGGATGTACATTTAACAACTTTCAATGTTTGTACTGCAACAATAACGTAATTATTTAATACATTAGGTTGAAGATGCAACTGAAGAGAAGAGTGAGCCTAAGAAGACAGAGAAAACAGTTTGGGATTGGGAGCTGATGAACGACAACAAACCAATCTGGACCCGTAAGCCGACTGAAGTAGCAGATGAGGAGTACACCCAGTTCTACAAGAGCCTCACCAAGGACTCCTCAGCACCACTCGCTAGGTAAATGATATACACATTGAAAAAATAATGGTGCTTATTTGTTTATTAATAAGTGCACACCAACGGAGTAGTAACGAAAAGTAATAACTTTAGAGAATGAACAGATGTGCATAGTATTAGTGTTTGCATAGTAATTGAAAATAAAACTAAGTAAAAGAAACTTGGTGGTTATAGTAAAAAAACATGTAACAGATACTTCGTATATGTACATTATACACTTCGTACACACTTATATACGTACATTATAAAAACTCATTTCCTTCATAAGTTCATTGCATGACATAGGCATTCCCCAAGAAATACCACTTAAATAATATACATCATATACATATACATATACATACACATACACATACACATCAACAGCTATTTGTTACAATTTGAAACATAACAGATTTTTTTGGAATAAGTCAACAAACCACAAAATATGTCGTTTGTGTTAATATGAATTGGGTTGAATTTATCGGCGGTAGGGTATAAACATAACATAACATCAACACTTACGCCTGTCACCCAGAGGGGTAGGCGGAGACTACAAACTTCCACTTGGCACGATCCTGACCGACCTCTGTCCTCCTTTACATACATATACCTATGCATACATGCTCGTCAGTTAAGGGTACTCCTAATTTGGCCCGTTTTCAAAACTAATTTGGTCGATAAATTTTCGCCTAGGACGTCCCTTTTCGACGGACCTTTCGGTTTATGCTTTCACTAGGTTCTCGTAATACGGAATAGTAATGTCGACCAAAAATATCCGACCAGTAGAGTCTGGCGCGGTCAATTTCGAGCACGGTTTCGACGACATAAGGCAGTTTCCGATCCGCGACACCGTATTTCAGAGCGAGCTCCTGCTGTGGAATCCTGGCTACTAATTATGTCTGTGCAAGTACTCAGTCAGAAAGAGACGAAAAACCTGAGATGACATCCCTTAGTGACTCACCGGGATGGTGACAAACTCAACAGATTTCGACGGCGCCATCCTTTAGGATGGTATCTCCGATAGTTGTTGGTCTTAATAAACTGATCCTGTATCGCACAGACGTAATCCTCGGTTTCCACAAAGAGGTTACCAAGGCGTATCCAGTGAAGGGAGGCGACCGTATCTACGAAAGGTTCATGTAGTCTTGTAGACATCTCCCATGGAGCTCCTTCTCCTTCCATATGGTCTCACAGTCGGAAATGCTCTGTACTGCCAGTTGTTTTGTCGTGTCATTGCTCGTTGGATAAGGATAGAGTGGTAAGCCCCTTATCACAAAAAGAAATGACATCCTTATAGAATAGATCATCCGAACTCGTCAGGAAGTAATTACGGAGACTGCACACTTCGCGATTATGCATGGTGAACGCGCTTACAAACCTACGCCCACCATGCTTACGCGGCAAGTACAGCCTCATTACCTCGGATGGAGCATCCAATTGGGACGCCATAGTGGTGCAGACTTTTCAATCCAGAGCAAACTTCGAAAAAACCAAAAAAAATTGGTCTGTGTCCACTTGAGTATGCCAAAGGTACATGAGGACAGGCATGACCCAGCCGTTATATGCATGTGTCTTATTCTCACCCGACAAAAAGCTGTTAAGCACTTGGTCAAGCATTCATAGAACAGATTGCAAACTGATTGTTTCATGTCCGCCTCATCAACACCTATATTTTGTGACATGCATGGTATGTTTCAGCCTCTGAAAGGGTCCTTATGTTGATGGGGCTAGTAAGATACGTTATTATTATTATTATACATGGGTCATATGTGAGATAGCTTACCAATATTATTAAGGACTAAGTAGGATAGAGGCGTAGCATTCATTTCAATTTTATTTATTGAGGAATGTACATTGAAGTTTGCTCTTTTGTTAAAGTATTGTTGTTATTATAATTATTATTAGGCATGTTTGAAAATATCGCGATTAATAGAAAATGATCTTTTAATGTTCGATTTAATCAAGAATCGATTCTAGTATGTTCGGTTTGAATCGAATCAGAGATCGATTTTTTTAAGTGAATAGCGTGCCTGTACAGGACAAGTCATAGATTTTTTTTTAAATTTGCGTAACGATCAAACGAAAGAGGGTTGTAGACCATGGAAGGAATGTTCTGACTGATTTATAAATTTTCTAAAAAATCGCCCTTTACGTCAATATGTTTTGATATTGCAGCTGCAAATGACCGATTTTTAATTTTTAATTTAGTGTGTGTTTTACTAAACAAAGTGAAAAACTAGTGTTCTCAGCCCCATGCAGTCGACTAGAGAGGTTATGGATTATTGAGTATAACTTAGAAGGCAATTTATTGGTACCATAGTCCCAATCTAGTAATAATGCTTCCAGACCAAATTTCAATCACAGCGGCCAGTCTCATTGGAGCCATAACACAGGACAGCAGCACAGTGTCCGAATTATGTGCAAGCACAGGTGTACTCTATTTCCTCAATTTCTGGTCTGATGATCACCAGTCGCGTATACGACCAGTAGAGCAAGGCGCAGTCTCCATACGTACTAGTGTTAGGTGAAGTAAATGCTACGTGGTGGTGATGATGCAGGGCGCACTTCGTGGCGGAAGGCGAGGTGACGTTCCGCGCGCTGCTGTTCGTGCCGCGTGTGCAGCCGGCCGACAGCTTCAACCGCTACGGCACCAAGACCGACCACATCAAGCTCTACGTGCGCAGGGTCTTCATCACCGACGAGTTCAACGACCTCATGCCCAACTACCTCGCCTTCATACAGGTACCCACCGCCTATTAGGTACATACATCCACGATAAATATTATAAACCCACCCTTAAATTATACTGGACGACCTTTTTTACCGTCTGAAAAATACAGTGTAACATGTGAACGAAGTCTACTCCGTTCACATGTTACACTAGCCTTCTAAGTCTATAGTACTGATATCTTACAAAAGATAAAAACAAAAATTAAGGTGGATATGATTAGAATTTCAATAGATTTTAATTAATTTATTTGTTTAATTCAAAATTGTTTGTTTTTAATTTTTGTTAAATATCGTTGCCATAGGCTTTTACTCCATTCACATGTTTCACCCAAATTTTTTTCAGACGGTAAAAAGGTCACCAATATACAGGCTGTTAGTGTAAACACCGTTATCCTTGAAACCAGTGGTTTGGTTTCACTTATAGAACGTAAATTCAATGAATTTAAAAAAAACGCTATTTTCTTTCATAAAATTTAAAAACTTTCTGTCCGACACCGTCTGTAAATTCATGGATACCCTATGCGCCCGAGTGACGTAATCACTGTAAAGATCACCGCCCGCGCTAGCTACCTACACAACATTCAACATAAAAACACAATAGGTACACATAACCTGTGATGTAAGTTTTCCTTCATACTTTCATCCTGGCTTAGGAGAGGCAAAAATTGAGGAATTAAGGAAAAATTGAGATTTTACTAAAAAAAATGTTGTTATTTTTCATTGAATTTACGTTCTATAAGTGAAACCAAACCACTGTTTTCAAGGATAACAGTGTTTACACTAACAGCCTGTATATATATTTTAATCTCTGCCTATAATATCATCAGTATGAAACTAACTTATAATTCGAGAGTTAAATTAAAAGAAAATTTAACAATTTCTTATTTCGAACCATATTTGAAAATTTCACAGGAATGCAAAAATAACAATTTATATGTAAAAGATAATAAATTTAAAAATTATTTTATTTATAATATAAATATTTTTTTTTAATAAATCTCAAGAGTTCAGTAATTTGTACTTTTTTAAAATATTGATATTTATTGCGAATTTAATTCCAACAGGGTATCGTAGACTCCGACGATCTGCCCCTGAATGTGAGTCGTGAAACTCTACAGCAACACAAACTCATCAAAATAATCAAAAAGAAGCTCGTGCGTAAAGCTTTGGATATGCTCAAAAAGATCCCTGATGATGAATATGAACACTTCTGGAAAGAATACTCCACCAAGTATGATCCTTTTAGACCTCTCCTCTAGAGTATTTAATTGTTTATCGTTTTACTTGAAAATACTTTTTTTTATATGTATGAAATATTCTTTTTTACTAATTGTCAGAAATGTAAAGCTATTTTATATATATTTGAATACTGATTCTGATAATGGATTTGACGGGAACCACAGGGTTTTGGTAAGATGTGCACAACATAGTGTGACAATTGTGTGAGTAAAGGTGTGTGTGTCTGCAGCATCAAGCTGGGAGTGATGGAGGACCCGAGCAACCGGTCCCGGCTGGCCAAGCTGCTGCGCTTCCACTCGTCGCGTTCGCAAGACATGACCTTCCTGGCGGACTACGTGGCGCGCATGAAGCCCTCCCAGTCCCACATCTACTACATCGCGGGCTCCAGCCGTGCAGAGGTATGTCTTCACAAGTACCACAAGCATCACTATCTCAACATATTGTAACATTCTCGCTCTCTAACTTTTTAATTTTCTTTTACATTACAGAAATAATAGAATATTTTTTGTAGAAATGAAATAATATACTCGGAAACTCAGAAACTAAGTGTTTGATAATTAAAAGTAATATTAGTTATAAGATATGAAAATCGAAAGATTTTATTTGACGCGAAAATCGAGATTGAGAGAGCATCGTCACAAGCGGCAACCGCTAAAGTAAAATGTTACTTTTAATTGAGCCTACAAAGGCTTCTACTTCATATTATTATGCTTACAATTTTTATTCAATATATAGATTTCAAGAATACTTCTTGAAAGTTACTTAAGCTCTACCATTAGTTTGGAAACAAATCAAAATGGAGATGTGTTGTCATCCTTGGCGATTAAAATGGAACACCTCATTTCCCATAACGAGGTTCTGTGGTTCTCTACGCTCACACACGCACAACATACGTAAGGTGGACTGTGTGCTCAAATATAAAGAGGCTTGTGTTGCTCAACGATGACAAGTCATTCTACTGTGGTCCAAATGATGATAACGATTGGCATCACTAAAATCATTTTAAGTGCTTATTACTGATTAAGCATGTGTCTACATTTACATCTATTTTCAATTAAAAATCAAAATGCAGATGTGTTGACATCCCTGAGGGTTCAGAGGGAATGCTTAGTATCCAGTAAATATAGGGGGGTTTGGTTCTCTACAGTCAGTGTAGGAAACACAGCTATTTCCTGTCGGAATTCTGTGGAGCGCAGTGCATGACGCGTGTGTTGGTCGCGCGCAGGTGGAGAAGTCTCCGTTCGCGGAGCGGCTGGTGCGCGCCGGCTACGAGGTGCTGTACCTGACGGAGGCCGTGGACGAGTACTGCCTGTCCTCGCTGCCGGAGTACGAGGGCAAGAAGTTCCAGAACATTGCTAAGGAAATCTTCGATGTCGAAGAGAGTAAGTTCTTCAATAACTAACTACTAAATATTCATTTCTTAAAAGTTTTTCAATTAGTTCTTTTTTAATTGTGTGAGCACCACCACCACCACCAATGCAGGTCTGATAAGACCATACACTGTGACCAGTAAGGTCTATTGTGATCGCTGCTATGGCTGTAGTTTACTGCTACGCCCTACGGTCTACGCGGACTCCAGTATCAATTTATCATTTATATGTATTATTGATAATTAGCTAACAACCTCTCGCATGCAGCTTTTCTACCTCATATCTAACTACATACCTCTTTCACACGCCTTTTTACAAAACTTATTACACCAAAAAAAATTAAGCTTGTATAATTTTTGTTTTATGTTGAAATGGTTCCTAAAAGATAATTAATCAAGAAGCATGATATTATTGACTATTCAAATGAATCAGGCAAGTGCGACAATGAGTCGTGCACTCCGGTAGAGAGTAATAGTTCTGTGCTGTGGTCGTGTACTGAGCGTTCCATTACAGGTCGAAAACACTATCAAAAAATCCGTCAAGTATGAGATTAATGATTACGTAACTTTGTATAGCAAGTAACTATCTTTCTTTTAATTGTAACTCTCAATTGCTTAAGAATTAATTAGCTCAGGAAGCAGACAATTCTAATAAAATTTAGACCTATTGTCTACCTACCATTTTTTCCTGCCAGAATGAAAGATCTCTTTTAACACATTTTATTTTCATCAAATGTTTCCTCTCCAGTCCATAAGCACATATTCATCTCCGTAATGTTTAATTGACTCTGAATTTGGAAATAATAATCGTACTTTTTGTCAACTGAAAAAGTTTTCTTTTTTGCATTGTATTTCCATAATTTTATCTCTTCGCTTTTACAGCTTTTTCCGATTAAATATTTTGTGCCAAACATGAACATTTTACTTCTATAAGTCCCGTTTTCCCTCTTTACACTTATAAATTATTGTAGTTATTATATGTATATATAGACCACAGCAAGTAATTGTGATATTTTCCTACCGAGATAACTGAGTCAATGCAGTTTGTTTATTAGCTCTATCTGCCATATTTTATCAATGAAACATTAAGATATTTTTTTACGGTTTCACAATATATTTCACTAACGGAGTCTATATACATGTTTTACGATTTCATAATAGATTTTACTAATGGAGCACAGCTGATGTTTTATTTTCAATTTTTTATATTTTCTACGCATTACTGCCTGGAACTTTGATCCATTGTTCGTTTCTGTAGTTCGTATCTTTGTTGGTCAGAAATATCCATTTGTTTAAAAAATTCACTTCTCAACATCTGAAAGTTTTCGTCAGTCGTATCTGGGCTTTGTGCTTTTTGTCTATAATCTGGATCATCCATATTTCAGCGAAATCTTTTTCGAAACGATCTTTTGTACACTCTTGTTTTCAGTTTTTGTGCCTCATATGAATTCATGTATTGCCTGTGGGTTTGCCAAATATATATTTTTTGTACGATATATGTGACATACGAGCACATAGTCTACCTGATGGTAAGTGGTTGCGACGGCCCATAGACATCTGATAAGATATCTATCCTCGATTAACTCGTTTCCAGTAAAAAAGGTCTGGTTCCCTACACCCACCATAGAAAACACAGCAGCATTGAGCAGTTATTTTACGCTGGTATTCCTACTCTGGACTGTTGTGTATGACAGTTCTTAAACCCTCACTGAACATTAACCTTAAACCGAGAGTCTCTTAGAGAAAAATTTTATGGAATAAATATATTAACTTTGGCCTCTCAGCATATCTATGAAATTTTGATGTATGTTCACAAAAACAAAGGTAGTTTTAGTAAAAAAATGACATACACTCTGTTAACACTAGGAACAAACACAAGCTGGTGCTACCAGTTTCTCGACTCCACAGTCAGTAATTCATTCTTGGGGCAATGTATACGCTATTACAACAAAGTCCCAGAAAATATACAAGGTCTCTCTATTACCAAGTTTAAATATATAATTAAACAAAAACTGTATAAAAAGGGTTATTGTGATATAAATGTATACATGGTTGATAATAATCCCCGGGAATGAGGTGGTCGCTTCCAAGCTGTTTCTAAAATAAATTTTGTAAGTATTTTGTGACCCTTGACATTGTAAAATTTATTTAAAATAAACTCCCGCTGGGTTCTTTTCTTTCGGTTCCCTTGCTGGTTCTTCCCAGGACAGAGGTTTTTTTCGAACCAGTGGTAAAGTAAAATATTGACTTTCAATAAGAATTATTTGTAATCTATATTGAATAAAAAATTATTCTATTCTATTCTATGTTCTTAAATTTCTATTTTTCTATTCTATTTCGCTGAACACCCTAAAACGCCGTGTATTTAGTGTATTTAGTCCTTGTACTCGAACAAAACTTTATTTCCCGGCGAGGTATTTATGGCATATACAGTAAGGATGTGGTATCCTGGCAATAAATGAAACCACAAATAATACCAGTTCACAAAACTGTAGCTAAATTAAATATTAATTTAAAAACCGTAAATTAAAAAATTTAAATTTTCAAACAAAAAAAATTCAGTAAAAGTAAACTCTCTATTTAGAAAACGTACCTTGACCCCTTGGAAGAGTGGCAACATTGCACGCGGACTGCATGGCAGCCAGCAGCGGCCTAAACTTTTCACTAAACTGTATATTTGAAAGAAACTGAACAAAATAAATATTATTGCACATTAGTTAAATAATTTATTAGAATCCTAAATTTGTTGTTATTGCACATTAGTTAAATAATTTATTAGAATCCTAAAGGGGAATGCCCACTCTTCATAGACATTTCGGCCATGAGTGCCCACATATAAAAGCATATAGATATGATAATATGCAATTCAAACAATGAAATGGTAAAGGAATTGCTTTAAAAAACATCGGGGTTTTGAAAATATAGAAGTTTTTATTTTCACAACTATTTTTATCGATTTTATCGCGTTTTATTTCTTTGATTTTTAATTCCAGACGTTTCGGGTGCTTTGCAGCACCCATGGTTACGGCAGACTGAGGTGACTGACGTCCCAATGTCAGTGTTAACCCGGAGTACCTTCAGATTTTAAATTTTTATTTATGGTCCGATCTACAGAATGAACTTACTGTGTCTTGAAGTCTTGCAGTGGTATGCTTGGGTTTAATTTTAATTTCATTAATTACAGGGTCCTAAGCAGGTGGTAGTACCAAGCCTCCTTCTCTATTGAATAAAGAATTTTTTTATTTCAATAGTCTCATGTATCGTCCTTTTAGAGGATTTGTGGTCTATCAAATCTTTTTTTGATGTCTAGCTAGTTGGGCCCGTCCAGAATATGATCACAAACTGCAAACTTCCCTGAACTTTGATGCTTCACGTCAGCGACGTCACGCTTCAAGATGTAGCCAATCTTGTCTGTGACACCCCTGACAAATGCTAGTACTGCACATGCTTTACTGTGGCCGGCTTCACTCGGTCACTGTGACGTAAGCGCGGGCCCGAAGCTTGTTGACGTGCAGAACCTGCTTGACGTGCTGAAGCTCGACAGCCAGATGTTTGCTGCCACAGATCCCTTGTGCTCTCTGTAACAAAGATTTGCTCACGGTAACTAACTGTGAAGGATGATGGTGAGATTCATTGTTTTCTATACACAGTGTGACCTATGGTGTTGTTAGAATTTTGGATGCCTAACGCTAGATGCGTTAGTCATCAAATTCAAGTAGGAAAGCTAAGGAATTATTTGCCTCTAATTTACACATCAATACATCATTCAGGAACTGAGCAGGAAGCAAAATATTAGTCTGATGCCGTGCCAACCCAAATACCATATTACTGTCATAACATGGGCACAGCATCCAACAGTTCGACGGCCGACAGTACTTTTTAATTGCACTTCTACCAGAACCATTGCCACTAATTAAAATATATATAAAATACACTTTACGACTAATGGTGATGACTTGCAATTCTAGCCCTAAGTAAAGATCAGCTAGGGCTTAAGTTTATTCCTTCCACAATGCTGCTCCTCTAGTTATTACAGAGTTCTATCCGGTAGCAACCATTAAATCTTATATGCTCACCATAATAGTAGCGAGCTTGCTTTAATTGGTATGTGACACAAGCAATTAATATTAAGTCGCTGTAAGTTAAAACAGGAAATTCCCTAACATTTATATTTCTAAAGTCTGCTTGCCCTAGCTCTATTTAGATTGTTTTCCCTAGCATACTCAGACAAATCATTATTTGTCTCCATATTTTGGTGAATGATTTCAAGTATTTGAGCCGCATCATCCCTGTCCCTTATTTTTGTGTGGAATTTACTAATTATAGCAGCAGCCACAGCAGTCTATCATCAAATGTGTAGAAGCCCTGTTAAAGTAATTTTGATAAAATATTTTAAATTCAGTTTTTAAAATGTCATTTACCACCTCTACTACCCATATCGACACATAGTCACAGCTCTGGATTTATTAGCATATCTTGTCATTAACTGAGATTCACCATCTGCTGGAGACATTCCTGCAACCCTTAGACATCCACATCTATCCTCGATTACAAATCAAAATGCAGATGCGTTGTCACCCGTGAGGACTAAGATCATTTTCTCGTTTCCAGTAAAAAGGGTCTCCGGTTGTCTACACTCACCATACAAAACACAGCAGCATTAAGCTACTATTTCACGCTGGTATTCTGTGAGAGTGTGGTCCTTCCCCCGGTCGTGCTGACCCATTCATGCTACAACTATACTTCTAATATAAGTGCAGCATGGCTCTACCACGTATAACACACATACATAGTAATTGTCACTATGTATGTTTGTTATTGCAAAATGTAGTTAATCACAAAAGAGACATACTCGCAATGCTGATGGAACTGTTACAACCAGGTAAAAAACATTGTGTTTTTAAATAATTAGTTAGCAGTACACTGTGTGATGTATGATCTAAGCTTTGTTGTTCTGGGTGCAATACATTACTCACTTCAGATTGCAACAAGGACGGATTAGATGATTCAGATGGTTCCCATTCTGCAGTTGAACGTGATGCTGTTCTATCAGTTCATTGCCAGCAATTATGATATACACGGCATGACAACGGCAACTGAAATAATGTAAAATACAAAAAATGAAGTCAAAGTGAAAAAATAAAATAGATTTGTTTATTTCAAACTCAAATATAAATAAAATATTTATCAAGTTAAATGTTACTGGACAAGGACGGATTTAATGCCCTATATTATTTAACAATTAAGGCCTGACAGACTACCAGCAGTCCAAAAACAATGAAAAATCAACTGTCTCCTTTCTTGGTAGTTGATAAAAATGGTCAATCTCATAAATAAGCTAGTATGTTTGTCAGATATAGCTAGTCCAGAAGTGAAAAAATAAAAAAAGATAATGACTTGATAAACAATCAGTGTAAAAACATGTATAATTATCAGATATGAGGATCACATTTAATATATTGAAAAATGCTAAACATCTTACCTTATCTTAACTCACGTGGCACAAATTGTTCCTCACGTGGAGAATCGAACCCAAACAATGTGTGTGATCTTATTCTTATAAGTGTCAGTGCCACAGCTGATGTATACATGTTCAAGACGAACTATTGGTGCATTTTGCGAGTGGCACTCTACACGTTCACTGTACTCGAAACTTGTACCTAATAAAGAAGCTACAATTATTATATTGATATTATTCAAGTAAACTCAGTTATAAAGCATTTCTTAGAGGAAAACATGCCACTTCGTGATATGTACCAACTATTTACCTGCTGTGTTCGAACCAATTGTTGAGAGATCAACAATTGCATTTTCCAACAAAACAAAATAACACGCAATTAAATTCTTGTGACATAACAGTGACAGGGGCCTACATGTCAGATTCGATGTTGCCACTTAACTGTCATAAAATCTATGAAACGATATCGATTTTTATTCGATTAATAATATCATGAAAAGAATAATCTTTGACGCGTTTTAAGTTCAGCACGCTTTTTTTAAAATATAATTTCCTTTATTTATTGAAATTCTATTTCAAATGTATTTTTAGGAACAGTTAGCTTGTGCTGTATTGTTTTGTTATGCTTTAGAGAACTCGTGGTAAATCGGCTAGAAATTAACTTCTTGAATTATCATAACATGATTCCATTTTAAATGTTAAGTTAAAAACAGATAAGAATAACAGTTAACTTGTGCAGTAGCGTTTTGTTATACTCTAAAGAATTCTTGGTAAATCAGCTAGTAATTCGCTTGTTTAATTATCATAACTATAAATGTGAAGGTTGTCAATGAATTCAACCGAGCCTATAACAACGGTTGTTTTAGTTTTTAACGGTTGACTACCGCTTTTGATGACTTGAAATGGATAAAAACCCATTTTGTGCAATAAGTTATTTTTCTTTGGTAATGAATAAACCACAGAAACCCCTATAATGTATAATAATCCTTTTTTTTAGACACAAGTAGCACATTTTAAATAACCGCAAAAACAACTTTGTTATTTATACAAACACTATGAAAAACAAAATAATTTGTTGCTGGCGATAATGATAGTGGTATTTTGACTCCATTTAAAATATATGCTTGTTACTACAGAACTCTTCATGGGCCTGCGAGTCCGACTCGCACTGAACCACTTTTTTTCAACTTTTAGTTTTATTTTAAGGGGAAATATAATCTCAAATGGCTTAGCAAGATCCTCCGTTATGCCTTAAAGAAATTACCTAAACTATCGGCGCGTAAGCTTGATTCCTGTCGCTCCGCAGGAACCAAGCTTACGCGCCGATAGTTTAGGTAATTTCTTTTTACAGTGAAAATAATGATATTTTAAAAAAAGTAAATAACATAAGCACTGATTTATGGTTAGTTCAGTTAGTATGCAAAGTTTCATGATCTTATTTAAAGTATTTTATGAATAATAGCGGTTTATTGTTCAGTTTGGAGGTAACTTTGGATTTTTTTTCTATCGAGAAAATTTTACGGAATCGTGTTTTCGTCTAACATAAACCTTAACATTAATCCTCAACTTTACCATATATTTATTTCAAAATTAATGCTGCAATACTTTCGGCATAACGGAGGATCTTGCTAAGCCATTTGAGATTATATTTCCCCTTAATAAATAGTTTTTTCGTTTAAGCGGAGCTCTTTTACTTTAGATTTATTACCTCTTTATCTATAATAATCAATCTGAGTAAGTAAAGTGTGTAAATACGATTCTTAAATTGTAAAAATAATAATTGGATTTGAACATCTTAGGTAGGTATTTAGTTTTATTAATTTAGAAAATATTAATCTCACAATTAATTATTGTAATAACATAAATGTATCACACAGCTAACGCCCTCATTAGCAATGTAAAAGTAAAATAAAGTTACAGCCTATATACGTCCCACTGCTGGGCTCAGGCCTCCCCTCATTTCTGAGAGGGTTTAGGGCAAGGAAGTGTCCGCCGCGCTGCCCAAATGTGTGTTGACGAACTTCACATGTCTTCGAATTATTTTTTTTCTCTTATTCCTCAGACATGCAGGTTTCCTCACGATGTTTTCCTTCACCGCCGAGCACATGGTAAATCAGCACTTAAAATTGCAATTAACAATTTCATTGGTGCCGGCGGGATCGAACCCGGGTCACTCGCGTTCTGTTACATTTACAGCGAGCGTTAACCACTGAGCTACCACGGCTCAGTCTCATAACAATCTAGTGGTGAAAGAATTCTCAAAGTTGGTCAAGTACTTTACGAGTTTAGCGAAAAAAATATTCTTTGATAGTAGCGCCCTCAATAATAAAATGCATCCTACGTTTTTAAGCACCATAGCAAAAAACGATTCAACATAGCCTAACCCGCACACACAGTAAAAACATAACAATCCTTTTTCGTCTGTAGTCGGATAAACAACTGGTTAATAACGGTTGCGTATCGGCTGCTTTGGATAAATATGCATTGTCAACGGTTATTTTAAACCTATATCATAACATCGTAATAATTATCGAAAAATTATATAAGCATTGTAATAATGACGCCATAAGTAATCGATGGAAAAGGGGAATCGATTTTTTTAATGAGAATTGGATTGGCAACACTTTTTATTTTATTCACAAACTAATGAATTAGATTTACCTAATTTTAATCTTATCTTTTCGGTACTTTTAATTTGTGCGAAAATATTCCCATTGTTTTAGGATAAATGAATACCGCGATTAATAATCATAAATAAAGATATATTTTTTTAACAAATGCACATTGTTGGGCGTTCCATGGCCGAAAATGGGCGATCCCCTTTGTTGTTATTGCACATTAGTTAAATAATTTATTAGAATCCTAAATTTTTAAATTTTCAAAATTTCTGCCATGTTCTTGAATACACAAATTTCGTTCAGGATCCTAGAGCCAGGGCTTTTAATTTGTCTACCGCACTATAAAAATGCTGTTGTCTTGGAATTTTGTTAAAAAAACACACGCGCGTACACACAAGTGTCAGATAGTGTCATTACTACACTAGAAATAATAAAAATAAACATAAAAACTCATTACACACACACACACACACACACACACGCGCACGCGCACGCGCACGCGCACGCGCACACGAACACGCACACACACACACACACACACACACACAGCACGCACGCACACACACACATGCACACACACACACACACACATGCACACAAA